GGTGCCTTAAGATTAACGATGATGTTAAATAAGTTATTAATACATTGACGTAAGTATCCACAAGGTGCCTTAAGATTAACGATGATGTTAAATAAGTTATTAATACATTGACGTAAGTATCCCCAAAGTGCTTTAAGATTAACGATGATGTTAAATAAGTTATTAATACATTGACGTAAGTATCCCCCAAGTGCTTTAAGATTAACGATGATGTTAAATAATGTATTAATACATCAACATAATTACACAGAAAGTGCATTGAGGTTAAAGATGGTGTAAATAATGCTCATGGTTTGGTAAATTGAATCCCAACCATTTAATGAAAACAAATCATATTTTTGACTAAGTTCTGGAGATAATAAAATTTAGTATATTTAATGTTTACCGATAGGCCTAATTCCACACTAGATATATTTAATGTTTACCGATAGGCCTAATTCCACACTAGATGCTTATACAACGATTTCATTTCCCTTTTTAGCTTGGCTGGTACATACGCCACTCTCTGTATATCTTTTATTACTTCATTAAAACAAACCTAACTCGGTAATAAATCACCTAATTTAACCTAACACACATTTTATATCCCTAAAATTGGTTCTTAATTTCTTGTACTTTAAAATAAATTTATAGTTAAGTCTTACAGTTCCTTGCTTGACGAAAGAACTCCATTTTCCCAAAACCCGCAAAATAAAATTTTGTAAAAAACAAAACAAAAACGAAACATACATTTTCGTTTGTAAAAAATATTATATTTGTTGACTAGAAAAGGGAACCTTTTTCTTACAGAATAACTCTGATATGGAATGGAAATTTGCAAGATCTGCCTTATGGTTGAATTTCTTTGACCATAGGAGTTATGTGCCTCCTCCATTAAACCTGCTTCCATCTTCTCGTACCTTAGTGAAGGCTTGGAAACATTTCGCTAACTGTTTGCATAGGAAGAATGAGAAAATCAGTGTAAGTTCACACACACACACACACACACACACACACACACACACACACACACACACACACACACACACACACACA